GAGGCGAGGCGGGCGCTCGAGGGCGGTGGCGGAGATGATGTCAAAGTAGAGGAGGGACGCAGTGAAGAAGCGGAGGGCGGCTTGGTCGGAGGACCATGGCTTGTGGGAGCCCGGGGGGAAGTGGACGCCTTGGAGGAGGGGGATGACCATGGTATTCATTGTCGGGTCCCAGCGATCTGGTTGGGGGAGGATCTGTTGGAAGATGATGGTTGCGGCGTCGAGGTGCATGTGCCAGTGGTCCGACGTGGCGAGGGTCACGTCAAAGATGAGGAGCTGGACGATGCTCTCGAGAACGCGGCAGCTTTGCTGGAGTTGGTCCTGGGGGTCGCGGGGCACGCCGTTGGGGCCGGGCTCGTTGATGCGGGTCATGTCGGCTCGGAGCTCGCGGAGGGCGAGATGCATCTGGTGGCGAAGGCTGTTGACGGACTTCATGCGGCAAGGAGCGTGCTCGACTTGGGCGCTGTCGAGGACGACGCCGAAGAAGTGGGAGGAGAGGCTAAGAGCGGTATGGTAGAGAGCCTTGTTGTGGTTGAGGACGTTGAGAAGCCAGCCGCGGCCGCCTTCGAGCAGGGCCGGCTTGTAAAAGGGGAAGAGGAAGGGGAAGACGTAGTCGAGGTAGATCATGATGAAGCCCAGGTTGGAGTCGTCGGCGAAGGGCGGGGATGAGTTTTGTTGGACAGAGGTGGAGGAGGAGGTGCCCATCCCGGTGCCGGTGGCGAAGTCGAGCTGGGGTTTTTGGTGTTGTTGCTGATGTTGATGTTGCTGATGTTGATGTTGCTGATGTTGATGTTGCTGATATTGTTGTTGCTGCTGGTGTTGGTGATGTGCCGCAGAAACTGGGCTGGAGTGGTTGATCCATTCCGGTGTGTGCTGCCGCATCTGATTTGGTGATGCGCCGGGTACGATTTCATGAATGGACGATTTTACCGAGTTCATCTGGAAGGGCGGACTAGAGGATGAGTCGCCGGGGGTGTCGTTCACGGTGGACGGGCTGTTGGAGTCGTTGGCCTTTGATGAGCCGTCGTCGGCACTCAGGGCCGGGACGGGAGGAACATGATCGCCATCCTCGGATCCGCGCCCGCCTCCTCCTCCTCCTCCGCCGCTAACTCCGCCTCCCTCGACGTCGAGGCCCTGCAGGTACTTTCGCTCGCGACGGTTGTTGGCCTGAATCTTGACCTGCTTCTTGAGCTGGTCGGCCATTTCCTTTTGTCGTTCGCCACCGTCCATCCAGTCGGGCTTCGTCTCGCTGTAGAAGCAGTTGATCTCGAGCTGGGCGCAACCCTCGCAGACGGGCCGAGCCTCGTCGCACTTTTTGCGGCGCAGGCGACAGGTCCAGCAGCCCTCGGAACTGCGGATCTTGGCCGAGGACGACATGCTGTTTTTAAAGCGCGAGCGGATGTTGGAGAAGGAGGACATGTGGGAGAGGTCCTTGTTGCGTGAGAACATGATGGGCTACGGTGGTTGATGCTTTCGCGCATGCAACAAGCGATGATTTGAAATGCTGAAAGGCTGAAAGGGATGAATTGACGGGGGGTATCAGATGGGCGCTCTCATTCAAAGATGGTGAGCTCGCGAGCGTCCTTTGGTGTCGGTCGCTGGCCCCGTCTCCAGTCAGTCAACTGCGCGTGCGCGTATTTCGTACGGATTACGAATACTGATACAGAAACGGGAAAAAAGAAGCACCAGAGGTCGGAGGTCGGATGCGCAAGTGACCGATGGGCAGTGAGTTCAGACTTCATCCAGCGTGACTGAGTGAGTGGGTGAAAATGAGTGGTGAATTGCTGAGTGAGCTGTGGGTGTCGCTGGGCTGCAGCCAACAATCGATTTGTAATCCACTTAAAAGGCGCTGCCGGCAGATTCCATCATCTTTTTGGGTGTGCCATTGGTGGTGGCAGTGGTGGCAGTGAAAAGGTGTGGACTGACGGTGGTGGACGTGGTGGACGTGGGTGGTGGGTGTGTGTGGTGTGGAGGGGAAATTTAACCAAGGAACAAGGTGTGGAAGGGAAGGGTGAAAGGGTGAAAACACTGTTTAACTCCATCGTTTTATATTACTAGAGGATTGCCGCAGTATATATAGACGCTACCCTACCCTCGAATTCCGCACTATTTAACCTTAACCCTTTTCTTACCTATCCTTTTTTCTATTTTACCCTCTCCCTTATTAAGGAATTATTAAAATTATAGTTTTAATAGCTTATTAATAAGCTAATATTATTATTTAAAAATAGGTAACCTATTCTTATATATAAATACTAAAAGTCTTATTATTATAAAAATAGTAATAAATATATTAAAGTATTTAAAAAAGCTTTTTAATAGATTTTTAATACTATTTAAAATAATTATCCTCGAGTTATAAAAAGAAGCTAAGGTATTATATTAATACGGCCCTATTTATTTTATTAATACTAATAATACCTTTTTTAATATAAAATATATTAATAATACTTTATAACTATATTATTATATTTTATAAATTATATTTAATATTAATAAGGTTTTTAATATTATTTACTAAGTCTTTTATTAAAGTTATTATTATAGGGTTAGTTTAGTTATTAGTATTTTAATAAGTATTTTAACTTAACTTAGAGGCTCTTATAGTTTTTAAAAAGAGGCTTTTAAGGGACTTATAATTAGATTTTTTATTTATTATAAATAAAGCTATTATAATTAAAACTATAGTACTACTTATAAACCTTAATAATAAGTAGTTAGTAATATAATTTTTTTTTTTATAATAAGCTTAAAAAAGTATTTTAATTTAAATACTAAGTAAGTATTATACTATTTTATTAAAACTATATTCTTATACTTATAACTTAGAAAGAATTAACTTTCTTCGATAACAAGGTACTTAGAAAGGGTGAAAAGGTACGGAGTACGTACAAGTAGAGGGGGGAAAATTAAGGTAAAGGATCAAGGGTCAGGGGAACCTCCCCGGGGGAGAGGAAGGCGGACCCGTGGCCGGTCTGCGGTCTGCGGTCTGCGGCCTGCGCTCCTGCCCTTTTTTACGCAACATCCCGGTGAGGAAGGTGAAGGCGACTCTTCACCTGAGCTCACCTTCCACGCAGTGCCAAGTCCTGTCATTGGCGACTTTTTCCCTCTTTTGTCTTTTCTGTTTATCCAGATACTCCATACCGGTACGGATACTTACTACCGGTATGTACAGTAGTATGCAGAAATTAATTGCAAAAGGGGCCTCCCAGATGATACCCGGCCCACTTGCCTGCGGCGATCCAACATTCAAATCACCCCTTTTGCTCCTCTTTTCGGGACTACTCCTCTCGATTAACGAGTCGATCAATCATCAATAAATTCAATACCCATGGCTATACGCTGTTCCTATCATGACAGATCTGTATCACTCCATGGTGTAGGTACGAGCTAGTATCAGCTACAGCTAAGCACGGCGGACGCGTCACGTCAGGCACTAAGCAAACTCACTTTAGATTTTACCACACTCACACACGTCTCATCCAGCTCATAATTAACCCGGCCAAGAGTCCAGACCAAGAATGGCCTATCGTAACACCGCCATCCATTCCTTCATCGAGCCACGATAGTACTATCCAAATCGCCCTGCTCATTTCCCCTCCGACAAAAAACTCTCCTTAACCCATGAATATTAACTCCACTTCCCGACAGAGTTTTGACAGAGAATCATCAGATGACACCTTGCACGCCCCATCTGATAAACCACGAGAATGCCATCCAGTACCACCTCGCACCGCCCACCACCTTATCACCCAGTAACACCCACTACAACCCCGAACATCAGTTTCAGCCCTAGCAGTCAAACCCGCCCAGCATGGACATAAGCAGACGCAGACGCGTAACGCCTATTTGGCCTTAGCAGGAACCTCTTATGGAAATCGCAAACACTAGGTTTCACGATTCATGATCTTCGGTCGCTTATGGCTAATCTGACGCTCAGAGGTGGGCTACGCTGCCAGTGCTACCAAAGCTAAACGGCCGCGTTACCGGTAAATCACAGCGTATCCTTGATCCGTGCACAAAACCCACATTATGCTCTAAATACGCGCTGTGCTCTTTCTCTAACGACGACCCAAATCGCAAGGATGCCTCTGTTTGTCGTCCCAGTCCCCGGTTTGGCTAAGCGGGATCAGAATGCTTCCCAAATGCTTTGCAATTGGCCAGAAAAGCACCTCTCTCAAACTCTCACTCGACCACAACGCCTAAGTCCTCCGAAGTTAGATCTTACTCCAAAACATAGACGACTTGGAACTGAGTGAGAAGAGTTGAGTATCTCCTATCTCCTCACTTATCATTCCGCTATTACAGAGCCCCTTCTTAACATACACGATACTCAAAGCTGTGGTCTTCGCCTCTCCGAGGCCGAAACTTGCCCTGCACAGTTTGCTACGTTGGTTGCAGAGAATCTGATGTTTGTACAATGGCCGAGGATTACTACATTAACAAATGTTGTTTAATGTTCAACACGTCTCATGCGTCTGCAGAATGAAAGGTAAGCTAGCCAAGGGATCCATTTACTGCAGGGCTGGGTAGATCATTAGAAGTCAATGACGTGGTTCTGCACTCAGGGAATGGAGTAATCTTCGTCTTATTGAAGCCATCTCAGGCGCTGAATCAGTATCGCAATTGTTAGTAGATGAATTTTCGACTTAGGCATGCATGGTAAGGCTCAAGGGTTTGAAAGCCGCAAGTCGTAAGTGAGTAATACCAAGATATCCTATGTAGCTCAAGATGTCTCATTATTGATTCATCTTGGATTATTTAAAGAGAGGAAATTAAGAAGGAAAAGAAAAGACAGGTCCAAGATCGGGAAAATAACAAGATATTCGTTGTGAGGCAGACAAAATGCCTTTGGGCTTAGAAAAAGGCAATATAGCCAGACAAAGAGGAAGAAAGCCGCTGGGACGAGAAAAGAAATTCAGAACGTAACGAGAACAAACAACGCCAAGGTCGTCCATGTATTTCCAGAACCTCGTTGTCTCCTAGGTTCATTCCCCGACATGTCAATACCTAGAGTCCCACAGGTACACAGGATCAGACTTGGCTTTCGACACAACTACTTCGAGCTGATTGCAAAGCCCCTTGGCATCAATCCGGTCAGCAGGGTTGATCTTGATGAGATCTTCCTTGATGATGCTCAGAAGCTTCCCAAGTGCAGTGTTGGGAGCACTTTGTGGTATTCGCCCCAGAGTTTTGATAATCTTGGAGACCTCTGGATGTACGACGACATCGTCTTTGTCGGATCTGTAAAAGTGTGACGGTATTACGCCACCCGCATGCGCCGAGGTGGACTTCCTCGCGTTGGCGAAGCTTTGAACGGCATCCCAATCTTGTACAAGCCATATGACGAACTCCAAAAATATGCATCCAATTGACCAAACGTCGTACTTGCGGGACCTTGCGGCCTTCGATGCTACAGCTTCAGGGGCTTGGTAGGAAGGCGATGTTGCACCGGTGGTTGTCAGCATATTCAGCATATTCAGCCTATCCAAATTTGCCTCTTGATGGAAACGTGAAATGCCAAAGTCGGTGATCTTCAGGATGCCCATATCACCTTTTGCTGTGCCAACTGTGAAATATAGAATTTTTCCGGGCTTCAAATCATCGCGCCTGCAATTACCGGCATCTGGAAGCTCTTCATGGAGGGCATAGAGTGCCCTCACAAGACCCAGCATTTGATCCAGACTCCAAAGAGCAAGTTTGGACTCCCTACCTACGTCATCGTGGACTTGCCAGAAGTCGCATAGGCTCCCTCCATCGGCCCAAGGAGAAATGATGAAATCTCTGTCTCCTTGCGAGAATGCTGCAAAATTCTGCGCGATGTGCTTGGAGCCGGGAACCCTGCGAAGAGCACTGAGATTCGACCGTTCTTGATCAAAGCCCGCTCGGTATCTGAACTCCTTGATTGCAACAACTATGGAAGGAGATTGTACCTGATCGGCCCAACAAGTTAGCGTTGAATAAGAATCTACAACATAGAAACTCTCGCACCTTGAGTCCTGTAACATGAGAGGATTGTATCTCTGCCCTGTAGAGCACATTCCGCATACTGTGAATGATTGCGTCCGCTTTGATGAGAGGCAATGGGCAGAGAGGGTGAAGTTCCAAGTACTCCCCCGACCTGCCGAAGACGGGTGCCATCACCATCCATTGTCTGTTGACGAAGCTTTCCACCAAGTGGTATCCCCAGTGCTTAGGCGGAGTAAAGGTCTTGTCAGAGCTGAGCCCGGATCTCAGACATCCCCCACCGTTTGGACCAGGTCTCTTCCATGTAAAAGGCATATCTAGATCAGTGAAACCGGCTTTATGTAGCCTGTCAATGTCCCAAGGAATGTCTAGATACAGAAGTATCACGAACAACATTTTCACATTGTTTGATAAAACGATGTCCACTACCCCTTTGGTTGAAAAAGACCAGAAATTCCGGGCTGTGGTCGATTTTTTAAATGCTGCCCGAACGCTTTCCCGTGTGATGATGTTCTCCAAAAAATGTCGTGGGAGGTATTGGCGAACACCATTAAGCGCATCAGTCTCGCAAGCCATGATTAATGCCTCTTTTAGGGGCGCGGGTTCAATTTTGCGCGGCGTTTCCGTGGATAGCATGTCGCTTGCCATTCGGTTTTGTTCTGACACTAATTTTGCACTGCTCACCTCGAATGGTGGCAAAGCGGCGTTCTTAGTCTTCCCAAATACATCTTTTTCTGTTTTCTCCTCAGCATCGATGGATTGTGAGTCAGATTTTGAAATTTTCGCTCCTCTCTGGTGAATAGTATTGAGCGCTACTTCAGGTGAAATAGCGTCGTTGGTCTCTTCGAAATTCAGAGAAATCTTTCCCATTTCGCTGTCCATACCATTGGGTAACGTTATTTGGGTAATGGTTTGACTGTCTTTCATTCCGTTCGAAGATGTCCCCGACTCAAGTGAGTCATCCACTTCCTGAGACAAGTTCGTATCTATACTGAGCATTCGGAAGCATAGCATCTTCAGATGTTCGGCGATATGACGAGACAAGTTCGTGTTAGCTGCTTTTGGCAAATGCCTTCTGGGATGAGGTCGATTTGGATTCATTGACTGGCCACCCAACGTCTGTTCGTGTTTTCTGAACTGGATTAGAGGAGTCCTTTCTGTGCCTTTGAGTTCTAGAGGTCCGGTATCGTCTCCGGCGTTGCTTCTAATTGTATCTGATGGATCGTAGAGACACATGGGACATGAAGGTGTATCTTTGCCTTTTTGGACAACTTCTGAGGCCCCTTCGTACGATATGGCTTGAAGGTCTACAATCCAACCAGGACCGTGAGCACTGTTCATATGTTGAACCCAATTACTGTGATTCGAAAAAGTCATTGCCGGCTGTGAACATTCGTCTGAGACGCAGACATAGGGCTGTAAATCATGATCCACGTGATTTCTGTATCGTAGATCAGCTTATTAGAGATGTCAAACACTTCATAAAGTACCGGAAAATAATCACCTCCACCACTTTGAGTCCTTATACCGTTGATAGGGGAACATGTTGTGGCAAAAAGGGCATGGAGCGTGTCCAGTCACAGTCTCTGAACCCGACGTGGAACTGGACTCTGGTGCTTTGGGGTAAACAATGGCCTTTGTCCAGACTGAGTAAGTCTTTCTAGAATCAGAAGAGGGCCCAAATAAGCTCAATTGACCTCTGGCAAAGGACTCGCCATCCATTGTTGTTGGCCGCAACCATTCGCTTGGTACTTGCCTTGCCTGCAGCGAAGGCTTTAAGCGCAAGTCTGGATCTAGCTGTTGCTGAGATCCATCTGCCGCTGACCGCACATTCAACATGTGGGGTCTTTCACTTTGTACTTTGGCCTCGTGAAGACGAGGATCTTGACGGGCCTGTTTCCGATACTTCATATACGTAATACGTTGCTTGCGATACAACACGGATCTGGCGAGCTTCATGACGACTTGTCCACTAATTCCCGGCCAAAGATGGCTAATAATAGCCCTGGAAAGAGATTCGAACTGGCTGACATCTGTAATGAAACTCACACTAGGATCTGCGACTGTGTTCTGGTTCAGTGCTTCAAGACGTCTCTGGCGTCCTTTCCGAGATGAATGGTCGATCAAAGAAGCAACCAAGTCAAGCCGTTGAATGGCAGCCTCAAGCCCCTGGAATGCGTATTTCAAATGCTCCACACTCTGAACCTGAGAATCCATGTCGATTGAAAGAGTAAAATATGGAACTTCTTCAGTAGCTGAAGAACTTGAAGCCCCTTCAGAAGACAGGTTGCTATCAAAATCGACGGCTGTATGCTCTTGTCAGTGCTGGAATCAACGGGCCATTGTACTCAGCATGCAAGTGAAACCATACGATGCATACCGGCTTGCAGGTTGTCTTGTATCAGATCCAAGAGAGTCAGAATCATGTTTCTGAGTTTTGCGTGACTGAGCAGGCGTGCATCCAGGGATAGGCAAGGCTCAGCAAGAGCGCCAGCATTGGTAGCCCAGGCCCAAAGGCGTTGTTGAAACTCTCGCAGTGCATGTTGGCCGCTCTGAATCTTGGATATTGAGTAATCAAATGCCCCATCGCAGCGGATGGTTGCTTCATAGATTTCATTCATTTGAAGGTGCTCCATCCTTACTTCAATGAATAAGAGAGGAATATATTCTCCCTTGATTGTGTTGGCAAAGCTCAGCCCAGGTGTGGCCCAGAGCATGGTGCCATGGAATTGAGCTCACCGCCAGGATATAAGCGGTCATCGCTGCATCATTGTTCGCTGCTTCACGTTCTCTGTGATCCAAGATGCTGCATATCTTCTCAGACCGTCCAATGAGTGGACGTGAACCACTGAAAAGGGTCTGATCTGACTAATGGCGATGGCAAGTTACTTACATTATGCTGTGACCTGCAGCTATGCATGTCTGAGTCTTGGCCGTCATCTGCATGAATGCCCAATCCTACGTACTCAAGTACGAAACTGTCCATGTACCTTAGGCCGACGCGCGTTACAGCTCGTTTTCGTCACCGTCCGGCACAACTTTGTCTGACTGGAAGACCGGTCAGTTCTGCAAGGCCACAGGTAGTCTTTCCATGTCCATCTGTTGGTCTTTGCAAGGCAGAGGTCTGAAACTGTCTTGTTGTGAACCTCATCAATTACAATCTTCACGCGCAACTAGTCGAGAGATCTAGTCTTAAACAATTATACATCAAAATTCTGGATAGCATCAAAGTCGGAATGACTGTTAACATGCATCCGGAGTCGATTCATTGGAGCCCTTCAAAGTTACTCTCAAAGACCAAAAGTATCATCGCATCAATCGATACGGATCTTGAGTCTTGGTATGGAGTATCCTCTGGTAGCTCCCAGTCAAGATCTATATCTGGCTCTAGCGACAATGAGGAAGATGACGACAGCTGGGTAAACTTCAGTATGTCATCGAAAGCTCAAAACAATTTTGGAACATCTCAAATGGACGAGGGGTCGAGAGTGACGACAATACCGACTGATAACGACATCCGGCGTCAAAGGCGCATTCGACGTCTGCCTTTCACAACGATTCACCAACGATTGAAGAAGTCACATCATGTAGAGATGTGTTTGGTGGGTATCTCCGAGAAGCTCTACTGGGCGCTAGTCAATCAATCCGCATGTTGTGCCAGGAAACACGTCGCCCGCATCTGCCTCGATGGTTTTCCACTACATGAAAACAAACCCAACCCCTCTGACGCTCGTCACTTGAGTTTGTTCCTTTCTTACCAAATTGGTAACGGGCCGTCCAGTTGGCATGTAGCTCAATGCCTGTTGCAAAGGTACGTGCAAGGCGGTCGTCAATATCAGGGAATACGCAAGTACCTATATTCAGACTGAATCTCGTTAGCGACAAAAGTGTCAGCCGCATCTCCAGTTACGAGCCAGATCTATGCTCCCTTCTGGCAAGCTGTGCAAGCTATAGAGAAGGCTTAAGCATGACTCTTTACCAATTATCTGACAACACTCCCGTCTTAAGCGGCACCCGAAACGAAGATCGGCGAACGACCCAGCCAGCGATCGCACTCGGACACTTGATCGATCGGAAAATTTTCTCTCGATATTATGGTGGCCAGATTCTCCCAGTGAACAGAGCAACAATGTGTTTGAATCTTTCTTTGGCTCTCATGCATTTGTCGAGCGAGACTTGGCTCGGACACAGGTGGTCGGTCGACAACATCTATTTCCTCCATGACCCCCTTGATTCACCAAACGCTATTCAGCAGCTTGATCATCCTTATCTTTCTAGATCTATTACTGGGAATGAGTTCGGTTCTGGGAATCAGCAAACTCAGGCAGGTCTGAACAACGAAAGAGCAAACGTTTTATCCTTCCTCCAGGTCGTGATGGAAATCATGGGAGGCGAGAGAGTTCGATTGGAAGCTCATGCAGACGATTTTGATTTGCTATATGAACTGAGGAGAACTAAAGACGAAGTCTGTCGATGGTACCCTGAGCCTTTAGAAGATGTCATTTTGTCCTGTCTTGCATTCTGTAGGTCAGCAGACCCAGGTCTAGATCCTATTCTTCATAGAACCTGGATATGGAGGGAAATTGTGCAACCATTCGAGGAACTTGCAAACAGCTTCAAGAGGATACCGTATCAAAAAGTCGAATGGAACTCAGAGAGCTGCCAAAATACGATCCCTCTGCTTTCGAAGAAGGCAGAGTTTCGGTTGATTGAGTCAGAAAAACGACTTCACGCTCAGTCCACGAGTCTTGAACATGCGGAAAATCGAGGTGAAACATTCGATAGGTAGGCAATCTCCTCCAACTAACAACTTTGCGTCACGTAGCTAAGTCTGAAAATGATAGCACGCGAATCGCGTCGGTAAACACCTGGTTCTCACGATTGGAAAAAGTCAACGATGTGCTTGAGATAAGTACCCAGACTCAAAGTCAGAAGACTCGAATTGCGGTTATTGATACTGGAATTGACAAAGACGATCCCAATGCTGAAGAGGTCCTTGGTTACAAAGACTTTATCGATGGCGACGATGGGATGAAAATGGACGACACAGGTCACGGCACAGCAATTGTAGATTTGATTTACAGAGTCTATGAACCCGCAGAGATATTTGTGGCAAGAGTATTATCGACTCCGGAGAGAAATGAGACAATCAAAGCCGATTGTCTAGTGGCCCGAGTAAGACACTTGCCTGCCCTTCGTGTCAAAAGGCACAACAAAAGCCCGATCAGGCTGACATGCCCACCTCCCCATTTAGGCAATCGACTGGGCATTGCAGATGAAGGTTGACATCATCTGCATTGCCATGGGTTTCCAAAGCGTGCAAGGATGTGAGCTGCAAGAAGCTATCGCCAAGGCATCACAGCAAGGGAAATTGGTCTTCGCAGCTGCCGCAAACGAGAGCCACGCTGACGATATAGCTTACCCGGCTCGATACAGTCCAGATGTGTTCTGCATGTTCTCCACTGACGCAGGTCTCAAGAACTCCAGATCTATCAACCCAAGAAAACAAGAAAGGAGCCGCAACTTTGCTATTCTAGGAGAGGATATTAAACTAGCTAGCGGCAAGCTTGGCAAAGGCACATCCTTCTCCACAGCCATTGCATCCGGCTTTGCGGCGAGTCTGCTAGATTTCTCACGGCAGTCAGATCGTGTCGAATATTTGTCAACATTCCAGTTCCTTTCAAGGCAATGGGGAATGAGGAAAGTATTCTCTGAGATTTCCATTGACGATCTCGGTTTTGATTGTATATGCCCATGGTATCTTATATCATCATCGGAGCTCAGGCAACAAGTAGTACGCCGGGACGATTTGGAGGACCTAAGAGATAAGCAGGCAATCAGAGAGTCAATCCACAGGGATTTGTTCACATGGTTACGGTAACTGCTTCTGCCATGGGAAGTACTAGTAGTCTGGATAGGTAGCAAATGGGGAATTCAACATATTCGGAGCACTACATAAGCCCGGCGGCTTCGGGGTTATGTAAGCGAGAATTGGAATGCCGATTCTGCTGAATTGAATCTGTCATAAATACATGTAGGGAACTATTTGGGAATAAAAAGTAGCAGAGACTCCTCTGTGTCTGATACCTCATACTCCACGACTTCCAAGCTGTGATCTCCTATGTCCGCCATGACCTTGTCCACATCAACATCTCCAGAATCTACTCCGAATGTAGCCCCTTTAGTGACGATGCTCTGCTGTGCAGAAGAATCCAAGAATGACTTTTTGATCTCCGTAAGACGCACCGCCCACACAAAATCTGTGACGTGCTCTCCTGCTATAGAAGAGCCGTTGGACGACGATGACCGTATTGTCGCCTCCGCAGTGGCTAACCGAGAGATAGCTCTGATATGGATTAAGAAGTCAATCATGTGTAGAAGGAAGGCCAGGTGTCATGAATAAAAGATAAGGATAATTTTCGTACACTTTTGGTCCCACATTCACCCGGGAATCCTGTTTTTCAACACGTTCTGTGCTGCCTCCTCTCGCGATTATGATGCCGGATATCATGTACAGCTTCCACGCAGACAACTCCAGGATCGATGATTTGTGTTCTTCGATATAATCTGAAACCTGGCGTGATCTTAGGCTTTGATCAATGTACGTCTTTGTAGGCTGAATAATTTGTCTATCCAATCTGTCGAACTGTGCAAAGTTATTGACAGTCTTCTTGAAAGCAAGCTGTATGTCTCCCTGAGCCGACAAGCCCGGCGCTGAAAGAAGTGGGATACTGGCCGCAGTCTTGGCATTTGTCTCCGAATCTCGGGTCTCGGTCCAGTTGAAGTTCTTGTCAACCGTCGGCCAAATTCGCACATCTCTGGGCAGCGGGTGGGGCCCGGAAGAGTTGATGACCTGGTCTATGTCTTTGAGCCGTGGGATGATGTGCCCTAGCTGTATGGGGCCTTCTGCCTTTCCTCGAGCCATATTGGTTGCCGCATACTTGGGAGCGGGATAGTGTGCTTGTCGGAGGACAAACCAACATTTATCCTGTGCCATGGTGAATATCTAGGGTTGGAGGAACCTTGAACCCTTTGGCCAGGCTGAAGTAAAGAGATTCTATCTTCAAAAACAATGAAACGTCAGATCCTCGATAAGTTGAATACTCTGAGCCTTTCAACTACGATAAACGTTCGGCCTGTGCCTTGGAAGGTGTGCGACCGCCAAATCACCATTGTCGTCAGTCAATCAACTTCCCTCGACTCTCAGGAAATCAATGAGGTAAGTAACGATAAACGCAAGAGAGTCCTATCTCACCGAAAACAGCATGTGTATGCGATTCGTTCATTGACCAATAGATGCTCAATGCAATGGTGCCCAATATGCAAGCCCGTTGCTTAGAGCATATGAGTGGAAGCGAAGTTAAGGTGTATCAAAACTTGGCATCAGCAGTGTGATGGGTTGCCCCCGCATATGCGGCCCACTACGGTCGCCAGCAGGCTGGAACTCAGTGCAACACAGGTGCACTCTTCTGTTGGACAGTGAGAAATCTGAGGAAAGCACCTTTCTTTCGGCTCACCTGGACTTCACAATGTACATGCATAGCTCATGTGAATATACACATGCGTCTTAGCCCGTGGCAAGCCGAACCTCTCATACAGTCCGCACTGTCCAGGTTTGATTGGCGTAATGCACGCTAATATCGGCGTAAGGACGTAAACAGTATTACTGTAAGAATAACCAATCGGACATTGGCGCCCAGGGCGCGTCTGATTCTGCCCGCGTAATGCTGGGCGGCCATACCGCCAGACTGCTTACACTAACTTCATAAAGGACGCGGCTGGAACCAAGCAGGAACCAGCCAACCAACCAACCAACCATCTAGATAAACTTCCCCGGCTGTGAATGAGTTGCAGCTGCCAATATGACAGACCACAGAGCGCGGGACCGCGCCCAAGGCAGCCAAGATATTATCAACTTCGCCATCAGTTCGATCGACCGCGTACGAGATATTGCATGGGGCATTATCCGCCAGGACCCGAAGCCGTTCTGCAGGAATCCTCGCAGCGCCCTGGACCCGAAGCCGTTCTGCAAGAATCTTCGCAGCGCCCTGGATGGCGTCAAAATGGAGCTGCTGAGGCCTAATCAAAGCCAAGACGAGGCTCAGCTGAAGAAGGTGAAAAGCCTACTAAACAATTTAGAGAGATTGTGCAACGTGCGTTTTTCTTCTTCTTCTTCTTCTTTGGTTTGCCCGGCTGCCTGCCGGGACGTCGGCCTGGCAGGTGTGCGGAATTCCACATACAACCACGAATCTCGTGGCTCTTTACCCCCTCCTGCTGGCTGGATCATTTACTATGTGAGGTAGTTTGTGAGATGGAATTGCACCATGACGCCAGGCTTTTGGAGCCTGTGGAATTCTCAATTTTAAGTCGAGGAGCTACTCTGGCTAACCTAAATATAGTGGCCACGTCGGAGCGAGCACAAAGCAAATCAGTGGCCCACGCTCAAGGCTATCCGCTCCGGTCCATCTACAGAAAGGGCAAGAATTTGCCTTTACAATGTTGCCGTGGAACCCAATAAGAAGGACTACAGGGCGGATGCGATCAAGAAACTCAAGGACTATTCGGCAGCGACTTGGAAGCAGGAGGCGGCCGAAGCGGCGCAGGTCAACGATGCCTCAGTGACTTCCCCAGCACCCCATAATAGCCACGAGCTCGACGATGACATCCAGTACCTTTATAAGATTTTGAAGCAGTATCGGTCATGCCAAAATGATCAATCTCCTGGCGATATCGTGATCAATCTCCGGCTTAACGGTTACAGAAACCTTACGGCAAGCGGTGCCTCGGTCGAAATTTTGGCGGAGAATGCCTCGGCGGAATTCGGCATTCTATTACTCGACCATCCGCACAAAAACCAAGGCTTCTGGCAAGAGGCTAGCATCCAAACAGTTTCCCCTTCAGGGCCAGAGGCTCCAACAGTGTATGACTCGACATAACAAAGCAAATCCCTCCCCCTTCCTTTGGGGAACCAGCTATGTCCTCGCTGACTACATGACAGACAAGTTACTGATGAAGATGTGGCACCCGGACATATGGGTACGCTCGCGATGGAGGCGATAGTTGAGCACGACTGCATTCCCTTCGAGAGCTTCTGTGAGCGCATTAGCAATCGCGACCAGGGCCTGTTGCGCATGTCCACGCGGGACGACAAATTGGTATATCATAGACCAGGCGATCTGAGCCGCGAATGGCTACCTCATGTAGAGGCTGTACCATTGGCAAGCCTCTTCTCCAGGCCAGACCTGTATCTGCTTGACAAGTCTAAGGCAATCCTGGCGATGCTGGCGGCCAAGGCGACGTGGGAATTTTACGACAGCGACCTTCTCGCCCAGGGGCTGACGAGCGAAACTGTGCAGTTCATCTGTGAGAAGCGATCTGGAAGAACAGGAGTCTTCATCAACGAGCCGATGCTGCTGACCCAGTACATGGAAAAGGATGGCACAAGCACCAGGGATGGTAAGTCTGACAGCCGCTTGGCCACCCTGAGTACGGAGACTATTCATGACATGCCCCGGATCCTTGCGCTCGGTATATTGCTATTGGAGCTAGAGACCAGGAAACCCATGAAGACGCACCGGGAAAACCGCAGACTTTGCCCCCCGGGGCCGTTTGGTATTAACACCGATTACAAGATCGCCTGCAAGCTCATCGCTACTGGTCCCGATGCCAGTGAAAGCATTATATCCGACATAGAACCTCTGTCCCCTCTGAGGAAGATCTTGCCTCTTTGCATCACGCCCGGGAGTCTCGAGAGGAAGATCGGAGAGGATCTTAGTGCTCGGGGCTTGGCTAAATCCGCCTCTCAAGTCAACAAGCAGAATGCCCTGCGTTCTGTTATCTACAACGAGCTGGTCCGCCCCTTGGAAGACTGGGCAAAACGATATACCGATTTCGACCGCATCAAGCCTCTGTACGAGGTCTCGGCTGTGCCGGCCAGGCACAGACCTGAACGACCGCCGATTCAACCCCAGACAGCCTCTCCGGCGAAACTCTTAGCCAATGTGGCGGAGGATAAGTACGTCCGTTCTAGCCATCTTGCATGCTTCATTGAGCTTTCCTGGCTGACGTGGGGCAAGATTTCGCAAAGACTCGCAGGAGTGGTTCCGTCTGTATGAAGAGCTCCGAGACGTTCTGCAGCCAGCAGAAGAAGAGAAAAAGTCGGGTTACAAAGCCGTGAAGATTGCCGTATTAGACACCGGCATTAGTAAGGACCTCTACACATATCATAGAGAATGGCCCGGCGATTTTGAGTATGTGGACTTTGTCGACACGGCCCGTCAGGATGAGGGCCCCATCGGAGACAAAAACACGGAGCATGGGACCGCCGCTGTGTTGCTCCTAACAAAGATGTGTCCAAATGCAAGTTACTGCGTAGCTAGAGTGCTCAAGGAGAATGTCGCATTACAGTCTGATGCCGTCTTGATAGCGAAGGTGAGGACTTCTCCTCCTATTCACCCTCTCAACCAATGCTACGCCCTTGCCCTGCTCACTCCACTCAAGTCGCTAATTTATGAAACCCTTCTTCTTTGACCTAATTAGGGCATTGACTGGGCCATTGATCAAAAGGTAGATATCATTACCATGGCTATCGGTTTCCAGGTGGCGCAAAAAGCCATAGTGGAGGCGATCCGCCGGGCGCACACGCAGGGCATCCTCATCTTCTCGGCAGCCTCCAACAAGGGCAGACTCGAGAATGTTTACTGCCCTGCCAACATGATTGAAGAGGTGTTCGGCATCTTCTCGACCAATGCAGGCATCTACCATTCCAGCTCGCTGAACCCGGCGCCGCTGCCAGAGAGCTTCGCCGTCTTTGGCGAAAATATCGAGTTGGAGGAGGGCCTCCCGCTTTGCAGAGGCACCTCGTACTCAACGTCGGTTGCAGCAGGTCTAGCGGCCGCCCTGCTCGACTTCTCGCGGCAGGATCGGGCCAAGGATGACGAGTCCATCCTCTCCCAGCTCGGCAGCCGGCCGCACATGCGAAGCGTGTTCCGGGAGATGGCGGTGATGCCCCGCAAGGAGTACCTCTGCCTGCAACCGTGGTCGCTGCTGAAGAGTGCGACGGCGTCCGAGAAGGTACCGCGTGATCAGCAGCGGGATTGGATTCGGGGCAGCATCGAGCGTTGGCTGGAGCCCAATTGGCTCCTTCGGGCCGGGCGATTTTGAAGCCTCACTTTGACTATTTCCTTCTTCCTATATTGATTCAGAGTCTCTCTATTTGGATATAGCTCTCCACACAGCAACTTCTTACTGTATACATAGTATTTCCATATGAGAATGCCAGGGCGTGTACCCAGGGATATAAGGCTAAGCATCATGCGTCGCGTCGGGAACCATCGTAACAAAGGACCACGTCTCGGTGCCCCCAAAGGCAGTCGTGCACTCGGTGACCACGGCTTTTCCCAGCCCTTCGCGCTCCAGGACCTCTTGGACCTGCTCCTCGCCTTCCTCGTCTCCGTCCAGCGCCGCGCCGGCCGTTTCCTCTGTCTGCATCCACTTCCGGCGGAGCAGCCCCTTATGAACCTTTGCGAATCGCACGGCCCACACTCGGTCGCCCTGGATCTGGGCAGACATGTGGGTTTCTGTGCTGTTCTTGTGCGTATCGCCGATTTTAAGGTTGGCAGCGCCGGCAATGTCCCTAGCCAGAGACAGGTACATACAAATTAGTAATTGAGCCGTTGAGAAGACGGTTAGGGTATATAATGTCAAAACTATCCCGAAGCATATGAACTGGCAGGCGGCAACTTACAGGTCGATGTCGCTGTGGAAGGCCTGGGAGTTCAACTTAGAGCCGCCAATCGAGCCGCCAGCCCGCGCAATCATCAGACCGATAACCACGTAGACGGTCCACCGGTCCAGGGGCCAGATCTTGTGCTGTTCGATATAGTTCTGCACGTCGGAGTGGGCGATGACCTGATCGATGTAGGTGTTACTCGGCTGCACGACCTCTGTGTCGAGCGTATTGAAGTTAGCCCATGTCTTCATGGTCCTCTTGAACTCGGCGCTGATCTCGGCGCTCAGGGTGGCGCCAGCGGCCGCAGCAACCGGGGCCCCGGCGCCGGCATTCGCGCCGTCTTGGCGCTCGTGGGTCTGATCCCACTTGAACTCGCCGAGCTGGGTCTGTGTGATACGCATCTCGCGGCCAAAGAATGGCAGGGTGCCCTGGGTGAGCACAGGGTAGATGTTGTCGGGGCTAGGCACCACATCACCGAGACGCAGGTTGCCGCTCTCCGTCTGGCCACCGGCCCGGGAAGTATTGGTATAGACCGGAGCGGTATAAAAAGACTGCTCGAGAACGAACCAGCACTTGTTCATTTTGGGCCAAGATTCGCCAATCACGCAACTATCAGCAGACTTTTTGTCTCGGAAGTGATCGCGAGCTCAGTAACAAAATTTTGGGATTCGCAAGAAATGTGTTGTTGGCTAGGAAAAGGCGACTATAGAGCGCAAAGCATGACATACTACAACGAGATTGCCGCCGGCCTGCTCTTTAACCCTTTGGACCCCTCTTGCACACGCTGAAAAGCATCAGTGCCCGAAAGGCGGGGTAATCTGGCAATTAATTGCCAAGTACAGCTGACGTTATATACGGCCAATTACACCTGCATGGCTTGATGGACCCGATCAGAGCGGCTCACTGCTCTCTACATACGCTCTACTGATTTGACACCCCATCTGCCTCTGCGAATCTCAGTCAAGATAGATGGGCGCCAATCGACAACAACAGCGGCGGACAACATGGCCTCCGGAGCTTCAGATGCGTCACTGCACCCCTTTACCACCGTCTTTCCAGGGTCGGCCCCACAAGAATCGGCCCCGGTCGCCGAAGCCCAAGTAGACGAGATCCGGGGTGGAAAGGACGAGCTGAGCGTGAGGAAAACAACAGCAGGCGACAGAGCTTCAGAGACGACCTACAAGTTGGTAGATGCGTATCCTCTCGACATCGTCCCGGAGTTTGAGCTGCGGGACAAATCCCGGGCTTGCAGAGAGCGATTCAAGGAATGCCTGTCCCTTCTCAACCTCGCCCACCACGACTGGCTGGAGCAGCGATCGGCCGAGTTCAACTGGTGGATCTCGGGCCTAAATGCCGACAAGACCGGACCGGGGTCTCTCGACGCCCGGCTGAGCTTGCGCCCCGACGTCACAGCCGTTATTGTCGATGCACTCGATGGGCTTAAGGATGCCCTGCACGCGTACCACGATTTGGGTAGGTCCCTGGACGGCCCTAAATTCTGTACACCCTGCGCTCGAAACAGACCCTTGATTATTTGAGAGGTGCTCATGGGAAACAACCAGCTGACTTATGTGCCTCCATATCAGCTACTTCTGATCCTCACAGTCTCACTGAGGCCGATGCTGATTCCACCGCTTCGGATGGAGTGGACCGTGCGCCATCGCCGTGGTCTTGTATGGGCTCCGGCGGCGGGGAAGGTCCCGCCTCTGCCGTTGGCGACGGAGAAGAGAAGGACGAGGAAATAGAGGATGCCGAGTATCAGCGTAAAGACGCGCATTTGCCCTTGTCCAGCGACGAGTACGCCGAGCAACGAGCTTACATTGAGAACAACTTGGTAGTCCTCATCCGCATTTATACCGCCATTAAGCTTTCTGGCCTGAAGCTCAGGAATAAGCGCGCCGACGATGCGCTGAAGCAAGCCGAGCAGGAGTACGAGCGACAGAAGCTCACAATAGGAGCGCACAAGGCCCTTGCAAGCCAGGACGGAGGGCATGAACGATTCCGACGCTACCTCACCAAGCTGGTGCTACGTAACGACTACACGGAGGATCTGATACGGGGTTTGAGCTTCATGATTTACCAGTCAGGCGAGGCGAAGTGGGACCCAAATGTCACAGAGTCGCGAGACTGGGAAGACTCGCAAGACCCAGAATGTTCGCAATATGCCCGAGAGTTGAACGAGGGCCAAATAGGAGAAAGTTACGAAGTGTTGCTCCAGAAGAAGCTCTTGGTCGTGCTTCGTGCATACTTATGCGACCCAGCCAGGCTGACTATCGTCCAGCGCCGGCTTATCGACGCCAACGTCGTACGGCGAAACCGCCTTGTCCACGCCGGCAGTGCGAGCATGGCATCACCCCATGCGCCGAAGGGGCTAACCCAACCCGCGCGACAGATCGAGCCCTTAAACAAGAGTATAGCCCAGCGGAGCTCTTTGATGGCGGGAAACGTCACCTCAAGTTCGTATAATCTCGTGTCATCTACGGCATCACGGCCTGTTACGCAGTCCAATCATGGCGCCCAGGCCACCAAGAGCTTTGTGGCGCAGGCTGCTACGGCTCTCGAGTCGAGGTTCAGCATTACAGGCGCCCTGACACCCGCGGTCCGAAGCACGGCCAGGTCGGCGGGCACCAAGATGTCGGCTCGGGTGGGACATTTGGACTATCCAAGTTGCCCCATAGAGGGGGGCGGTTCATTTTCCTGCAAATACTGCCCTATGATTCTGTCGCAAGACTACAGAACGAAAGAGAAGTGGCGGTAGGTCCTACTTCCTTTTCCTTGTCTTTCTTGACTGACTCATTGCCTCTACTAATCTCACTCGTTCAACTATAACTTCCCCGCCCTTTTGTAATATGCATGAACTTCCATCTCTCTTGCAACTGTTTGGCATTTCTCACCAGGTTCTAACGCGTCTTAGTGGCCACGTGGCGCAAGACCTTTGCGGATATGTCTGCGTCTTCGAAGACTGCGAGTCCCCCGAGGATATGTTTGCCTCCACGTATGCATGGATGTCGCACATGGCGCGGTCCCACTCCGAGGTCGAATGGGTGTGCCTCCTGTGCGCCAATCATCGCCTCCCTGCAGACGATATCCAAGCCGCGTCCTTCACCGTCCCCTCAGAGCTTCGGGACCACATCTTGGCCTGCCATCCCGCCACTGATGCTAACGGGAGCCTGACGGAGCTGGAGCTAGTGGTCAGCGCAGGCCAACGGGCTGTGGGTATCCGTAAGGTCCGTTGCCCGCTCTGTCGGCCGGGCCTCGTGACCAGCGAGGAAGGTATCGACGGCTCCGTCCCGTCTTTCCTCCCGGCGGGCCGAGAGGCGGGGCTGGTGCAGTTGGAGGAAGACCAGCATATTGCCACTCACATTCACGAGTTCGCGCTGCACGCTTTCCCATCGGCGGACGGCGAGGAGCTATCAGAGGAAGCGACATGGAGGGATTCCGTTCCGTCCGAGCCAAGCACCAGTGTCGAAATCAACCTTGAACGGCTGCGTAGACCCGAAAGTTCGTTCCAGGGGCAAGCGTTCGCGTATTACACCATAGAAAACATACAAGACGCGATAGAAGAGCTGAACGCCACATGTCTGCGGGTGCAAGCGCCTGACTGGATACAAGCAGATAGCTCTGTGCGGCTCGATGTCATGGCGGGAAGATTGAACGATCTGATTCTCAGTCTCCAACTGGCGCAGGGGGAAGTGGATCTTGACGACTTTGCGTGGAAGCTGAACAAATGCCAAGTCCTGTTTTCCCAGCTGAGCAACTTACCGGACTCGGTGTGGGAAGGGCCGCAGGTTAAAGAACTGCTGGAAGAGTTAGACGAGGAAATGCAGCAGCTGGATTCCTTGTGCGAGACTGGTCGACAGCGTGAAGGACAGCAACTGTCTCCTTCGCCAGACTTGCCTTTCGACCGGAAGCAATTATCACCCAATATGAATCCCACACTGACCTCGATCGGCTCCCTTCAGTCAGCCTTAAGAGATGCGGAAGTGGAGATAAGGAACCAAAGAGACGCCAAGAAGTACAAGTGGATACCCATTTCCTCAATTGACGAGATACTTGAGGGCCACAGCATCGATGTGGAGGATGAGGTGCACGGCTTTATATTCAAGAAGGCCAAGAGGCTTTTCTCTCTTCTTGTCCGCCAGAGTCACTTCGAGTGGCTACCTCTCTTTCATGCCAATGACTTCGGGGACGAGGATTTCCCTATCAACTTCAGTGTCGACAGAAAATCTCAAGTATGGGCCTTGAAGTCGTGCAAAACTGGCAAGGCAATTAGCTTTGAGGTTACCGACAGAGAAGTCAATGGAATCAGCCGAAAGGACTACGACTCACTCTGCGACTTCTGCGACTACCACCAATGGTTGATATTTGTGCCAATCTTCTCTCCTGACGATCGAGCTCAGGTGTTCGATCCACTCTGCCGTATGCCCTTCTTGCAGGAGTTCGAATCCCATGGGACCAACTTCAGCATTGTCAGGCATTTCGTTATTCACCGAAGCCATCTTAACTTTCCACGGGATGATCAGATTGTAAGATAATTCTAAAATCACGCGCAATTAACGTTAAATTGACGCACTTTAGGGAACAATAGTAGATGCGGAGGACAACCCTCACATCGCTGTGAAAGAGATATTGTCTGCGCAAGGTCTGACGGCCAACAAATTTCAAGAGCTCGCCAATAACGAGGCGACTCCTCTTGCACGTCTACGAGACCAGAGTCACCCACACTTACTTCGAGTCATTGCCAGCTACACCCAAGACCGTCGGCACTTCTTCGTTTTCCCTTGGGCTAGAGGTGGCAATCTGCGCAATTTCTGGAAATCGCAGCCCAGCTTGAGCGCTGTATCAGATGATACCAGCACCGAAGACTGGAACATTTACTTGGAATGGTTCTTCAAGCAGCTGCTCGGTCTTGCGAGCGCCATAAAGAACCTTCACCATCCGAGAGATGACCCAAATGAGTCTTGCAGGCACGGCGACCTAAAACCTGAGAACATTTTGTGCTTCAGCAAGAATGAGGATGAAATTGGCGAAGGTAGAATTCCGACAGGCGTTCGGCTCGTTGTCGGTGATGCTGGACATGCCAAAGCACATGAGATGACCACTGAGTTCCAAGGTTCCCCAACGGCTGAATCAAGAGGCACGGTAATGTACTCGCCTCCAGAGGCGGACATCAAACAAGCTAGAACCAGAAGATACGACATCTGGTCCCTTGGCTGTCTGTATATTGAGTCCCTTATCTGGATGATATATGGCTACGATGCGCTGAAGTCTTTTCATTCAGATGTCGGTCCTGGAGAGCCCTACTTCTTTAAAGATTCGCCTGTCGATCTCAAAGATGCCGTGAAAGAATGGATCAAGGCAATCAAAATGGATCCTCGCTGCGCTCCCGTCGAGAAGACTGCCGTCGGACGTCTAGTCACTTTGATTGAAGAGAGAATGCTAGTCGTCCGAGTCACGAACCGCGGGGTGCCAGCCCGTGAAAACTCGGACACGGAGCATTCGACAGCTCCCATGCTCCTTCTCAGACGAGCTACAGCGGACATGTCAGAGGAAATTCCCGAAAGAGCCGATGCTAAGGAAGTCTACGAAGAGATGGAGAGAATATTCGATGCCGGCAAGCATAATCAGGGTCTGGCATGGATGGTTCGGGATAGGGAAGCTTCTGCACGTGGGCCCCCTATCATCACAAGAGGTCTAGCTGCTAGCGACAACAAAAGACTTTCAAGAGCACGAGAATTTCAAAAATAGAAAAGATGTAAGCCAAAATGTGGGACTCGTCTTCGGTCAGCACTCGTTAACATCACACAGATTAGGCATGTTAATCTGGAGAAGTAATGACATGGAATGGTAGGTAATGCGGGTGGCGCGGTTTTCATTGAGAATGAATGGAGAGAAAGCCCATAGAGCGTCATTCTCTCACGTAGCTGCCCTGATGAGAGGGAATCTTGCACAAATCCAACGCTTGTCCAAATTTTGCTCGCAAGAATTTGTTACGTCAGTGAGCCTTCCGAAGTAGCATCGTCACCATCAAGCTGACGAGCATCATTTGCGACGGACCAGACGGTATTGTATAATCAAATATTGCTTCAAAGTCCGACTGGCGATGCTACGCTACAAGTTAACAACGGCCTAGAATTTGGCTTGAAGGTATTTCGCTAACCTACTTCGGCTCTGTAACTAGACTGTCAGTACTTACCTCAGCTCAACCTCGATATCTTGGCCTAGATATCGGCAGCAGACCTTTTGACGAGATAGAGCTGATCTGACATAACCTGTACGTCATCGAGAACATACCCTTGACAGCATCACTGGAAGGGTTAGATGGCGTTTCTCTGCCCAAGACATTCCAGGACGCAGCGATCAAGACCAGACAACCAGGATCGAAGCATTTCTGGATCGACTTCCTGTGCATCCTCCTGGATCGTGGTCCGAACATGATTCTGCCTCAAAGGCTGACTCGGAAAGAGTCTCAGGGCTCATGTAAGAAACATTCGGCTCCGCATATGCCATCATCGAAGTTTACTGGGAATTACGGAGTATTCCAGTCAAACCTCCACATAGACATTTTTGGCAGCGTCGAAACACTGCAACAACCCTGCAGCGAATCAATTTTCCTTCCGAAGAACGGGTTCGCACTTGGTCATAGGTGGCCTTTGATGGAGAAAGGAGGTACATGCCAGTTGCTTTTGGCGACCTCGAGAGGACTAAGAATATCTCATCACCTTTCCAAAGGTCGTTGCAAGCCATATCGTATGTGGATCCGCCGGCCTCGGAGGAGTCATACTTCGAGTACCAGTCTGCACACCAATGAGAGACAATCCGGCGAGGATGATCTTGGACGAGCCAAATGGGGGTTTGCCTCGGCCGCTCTTGTGTGCCATTGTTGGTTCGAACAAGGAGCACGGGGGGGACCCGCTGCGACAATGCGCTCTCATTGTTACACCACTCGAGGAATTAGGGGAGGAAAAGGTGGTTGAGAAGATTGGAGTGGCCTATCTGCCTGTAAGGGATGTCTCGGTTGGAGATGGCGCCGAGTTCGTGAACTTTCAGGAGCTGTCTGTTGGTTCAAGCTTGTACCTCGATACGACTGACTCGGTTACTTATTCAACAATTCCAGATGGTAACTTCGAGCATGCTCTGGTTATAGCCAGTAACAGAATAGGGGTAGTCATGTCGTGAGAAAGTCGTGTCTTGATCTTGGGTACAAGGTTATCATTGTTCTTCGTAGTTTGTTCGGCGTCTGTATCAGGACGAAAATAAGCATAGATTTGAGATCCTTGAAACATCATGATTTGGGCAACTGAATTTTTGGATGCATGTCTTCGATCCAGCTGGGTGTTGGTTCTCGCACGAATTTGCCGATATTCTAGCGGACGGCCCCGGATACCGGTCCCGCCCCAGAGCCGAATCATTTCCGGGCTCCGGGTGAAGAGCCGTATCTCCTCCGCTGCAATATTCGAAACGTTTACCTTGAGAATTGATTCTTTGACCATTATTCCACTGTGCTTCTGATTCGTTTTACGATTGTCTTTCTTACAAGACCATTGCCTCCTTTTGCTCCATCATCGCCCTGGCCTACTTGGAGTCGAGGGCTTCCAGGTTTCTCCACTGTCTCCAATGCAAAATGATCCTGTGACATCATATCGTATCTTCACATCCTGGATGCATTTTGCAGCAACCTTTTCTAGCGTAAGGTACAAGCGACTCGAAAGATACTCTCCTCATCATCTTGTGCACTGCAAAATCGCAACCACCAAGCCGATTGGGCGATACACACCTGACCTCACGCGCACGCGCACGCGCCTTGCCATTGAAACAACTTGCGGGGCAGAGCAACGAGCACGATTGCCAGAAATGTAACCGCAACACGCATATACGAGATTCAAAATGAATAGACTGCAATACTTTGAGTCAAGAGAAATGCCATTACGATAAATCATTATCATATCAGAACAATAGCGCCCGCGAGCCATGCCGCTACTCGTACAAAACGCCTAGCCAATCCCACCTCCGTCGATGTCATGCACCATCCCTCGGCCATGAATTTTTGCATCAACCATTTCCATATTCGCCCATTTAAACAGTGCTCATGTGGTGGCAGCAGCAAGTCCAATCACCACCAGGCTCCTGCTTCCAAACACTGTTGCAAATTCCCTCCGTCGCGACGAGCTTCTTTCCCTCCTGGCGCCAGGCGGTGACTCTGTACACCAAGCTGGAGCTCATCATGTCAATCTCGACAAACTCGGGGTCGTCGTGCATGCGATACGCCGTCCAGGGCTCCCAGTCCTCCTCGAGGTACTCCTGGAGCGTCGGCTTGGATTTGGGCGAGAGGGGCTTCTGGCCCGGGTGAGCGAGGACGGCCTCCTTGTCGAGGTATCTCTTCAGGTGCTTCGTCTTGCTGTCGCACATTGCGCGCCAGAGGAGGGTCTCGGCTTCGATTGTGTCTTCCTTGTTGCGGGAGTAGATGGTTCCCGATCCCTTGTTCTCGTCGTCGGACATGGTGGTGGTGTTTTCGTGTGTTTCTTTTCTATGGTGTTTTCTGTGTATTCCAAGACTGTTTCAAGTTTCTCGTGCGAGTATTGTACTGGTTTATCGCGGGGTTTTCAATGATCAATGGTCAAAGTTCAGTAGAGTGAGGGGAACGGGAGCAAGTTAGAAAGTGCACCAGAGAGCTTTATGATGTCGCTCAGAGCTCTGTCCTCCCTAAGCAGCGGCATTGCGTGTGACGGAGTCGTCCAAAAACAAGAAATCCTGGGTTTGCTTGCGTTGCGTTGCGCGTCTGATTGGGCGGGCAGGGAAACGCTCCTGTGTTGGCGGGCTTGACGTCACACTCCGGTGATGCGCAGCGGCGAAGAGGGGCCACCAGCGGCTCATTGCGGGGGAGCGTCAGTCGTGAGAGACAGGGGTTGGAACTTGGAAACAGGTTACTTCCACAAGGTCTAGACTCTCTTCTCTCCCTTCGCACTCTCAGTCTCGGTGAGTGCTGTGAAAGGTTCGACAGGGCATGCGACCTCTGATGTAACGCGTGCACTGACGGGTCCGGGGGCAACCCGGCCGAGAAGGTTCATCCTAAGTACCTTATTATCGAAGAAAGTTAATTCTTTCTAAGTTACAAGTACAAAAATATAGTTTTAATAAAATAGTATAGTACCTATTTAGTACTTAAATTAAGATATTTTTTTAAGCTTATTATAAAAAAAAAATAATTATATTACTAACTACTTATTATTGAGGTCTATAAGTAGTGCTATAGCTTTAATTATAATAGCTTCGCTTATAATAAATAAAAAGTCTAATTATAAGTCCTTTAAAAACCTCTTTTTAAAAACTATAAGAGCTTCTAAGTATACTAAATTAAAATACTTATTAAAATATTAATAATTAAACTAACCCTATAATAACGACTTTAATAAAAAACTTAATAAATAATATTAAAAGCCTCGCTAACGTTAAATACGATTTATAAAACGTAATAACGTAACTATAAAGTATTATTAATATATCCTATATTAAAAAAGGTATTATTAATATTAATAAGATAAATAAGGCTATATTAATATAATACCTTAACTTTTTTTTATAACTCGAAGATAATCGCTTTAAATAGTATTAAAAGTTTATTAAAAAGCTCTCTTAAGTATTTTAATATATTTATTATTATTTTTATAATAATAAAACTCCTAATACCTATATATAAAAATAAGTTATTTATTTTTAAATAATAATATTAACTTATTAATAAGCTATTAAAACTACGATTTTAGTAATCCCTTAACGAGGGAGAGGGTAGAATAGAAAAAAGGATAGGTAACTTATAAAAAGGGTTAAGGTTAAATAGTGCGGAATTCGAGGGTAGGGTAGCGTCTATATGTACTGCGGTAATCCTCTAGTAATGCAAAACGATAGAGTTAAACAGTGGAGAAGGTTCATCCACACGTCGCGGTTTCGATGTCTTTGATGAGTTGAATGTTGCGCTAACTAGCGTTGGTGGGCGCGGAATGCCAACGTTGTAGCCGGCTCCGCCCGTCAGATCGTGGGCCACGAGCAATGGCTTCGATCTATCGTTCAACGTCCCCATCGCGGCGTAAGGGCTAGACTGGCCTGTTTCCGAAGTCGCTTTCTAGTGTCGCAAAGCTTTTGAACTTACAACAGGTGAATAGTGAGCGACGGTGAGTGAGATTCACGTCCACTGGCTTTAGTGGGCTGGTTCATTTCATCATGTTGCATTTAGACTGATGAGCTCGCTATTCATAAGCTGCTCACTCAATCTCACCGAGCAGTCCATTTGTCAAGGCTGAAATGAGCTCCATGAACGCGGATACTTGTCAAGGGATTTTCTTCCCATTTGCATCTTTTATCCTTCTCTTGACGATCTCAGCATGGAATTCCTTCACTAGCTGTTATGTCAAGACATGATCTCAAAGCCAAGCGCTCGGGTCATTTGAGCTACTCAAGATATGACGTCAAGACTCCCATTTTTGGACAGCAATTTGCGCCTTTGAGTGTGAATGCGCCAACGCAACTGAACATTCACTATGAGTAGAACATTCACTATGAGTAGAACATTCACTATGAGTACAAATGTCAACTACCTAAATCGATTGATATACACCACACACAATGGACGACTGGCAAGAAGCAGCTTTTACATCAAGACATGTCCACAACAGAGCAAACAAGTCCAACAAAGGGGGCGGGCGAGGGCGACGCGGTGGAGCCTTCGAGGTCAAGAGAGCATTTGGTAGATACGATATCAAGTGTCCGAGTGCGACCAAATTGAGAGGACAGATATCAGAGGGAGGAAAGGGAAAATCTGCTGGTCCGTCAATGGATATATTTCGGCTGTCGGAAGATGGCAGGGGGTTATTGGGACAGCTGAACCTGCCCGGGGTCCTCGATGCCAGCATCATTCTTACCGGAAGCAGAAAGGTTCTCGAAGACTTGATATCTCAGTTTGAAGGGAGCGACGAAGAGGCCGATATCTCCGACGACCCTAATGAAAAAGATGGCTCGGTCCTGAGACACCATGTTAGTGAGGATGAGGCAAAGGCAGACAACAATCTAGGAACAGCAGGGGGCTATATCGACAAGGAAGGGGAGGAAGTCAACGAAGAATCGAAAGACGAAGAAGAGAGCGAAGCTGAGGAGCAGAAGCGGTTCAAGAACTTCGAGAAGAACAGCTTTCGCTCTCCCAAATTCTGGTTTCAATGGAACGGAGACGTTACGCCTACCGCGACACCCTCGCTAGATAACCCTACGCTACCAACACCTAACCGGGAGACTGGAAGAGGCTATGTTGTGTTCTCTGGAAATGACTGCCGCTCTTTCAAGGGGACAATCAGCTGCGATTCGCTAGGCTGGAAGGATGTCTCAATCTCTGGGTGGAAGGAGGTGTCCATGAGCGAGAGGGACGTAAGCTTTGTCTGGAAGTAATAAATCAACTCAAGGCAAGAAAGGATCTCTGATCATTTTGATGATAAAGGGTGGCGCGGCTTCGAGGTAAAACTCATTGATATCGGAAGGGAATGATTTAGAGAGTGTTCCGCGAGTCGTTTTGCCTTCAGGGGTCGACGCAATTACCGCCCTATCTAACACCTTCCATTGCCAGTCTCATTCTCCATCATTCAAGTCTTGACTTCATTCCCAGCCATCTTCGCCTGCAAAGCAGCGTACATCCTGTTCATGGCATTACGGTTGAATTCCTCCCCAGTAACCATCGGATACTTCTTCAGCGGGCCCTGTATGACAGCCTCCTTACACGGCTGGTTGAAGAAAGCCATGCTGTATCTCTCCCCGTAGTAATCCCCCTCTTCGCAGGGCGCCTTGACTCGATGGTAAGTGCTCTTGAACCGGTCGTCGCTCCAACTCATGAGCAAGTCGC